TTCCTCAGAGTAAGTATATTAAAAATTAAAAGAACATATCACTGCTAAAAATGTCATGCTACATACATTTGAGAATAAAAACGATGAAGAGAATATGATAAACTGTTCACAAAAAAATTACATGAGACAGAAGCGATGAGATCTCTGAAGATTTTTAAAGAATGTCGCCCGAGAATTTCCTGAAGAAAAACAAAGGTAGAATAATTATTAATTTTGAAATCTTCATTTTCGACATGGTCTTAGTGGAGGGAATATATGTATTATTTTCATATTAATTTAAAAGAATTTCAAGAATCCTAGTAAAGTAGACTGATAAAGAAAAGAATGTTATATGTAGAAGATTGTGATTTTTGGCTCGTTCGAAGAAGACGTAATGGTGGAAATATTTGAGTTCCCCGTGTCGATATGCTCCTTATGATTCCTTGCTTTCTGTTTAGTCGCGTTATTAAAAAATAATAAAAAAAAGAATGAGAAAAAGAGAAAAGAAGTAGATAGACTTACCGCACAACCAGTGCCTACAAAGTTTTGAAATTGACGCTTATCCTTCACCGGCCCTACCCGACTTTCTCATTTCCCTCCGTCCGTGTCTATATACAAAACTGCTCGATAGAGACTTGATTAAGGATTCGCTAACTACTGTTCACACAGCCACGTTTAATCAATTAAGCGAAGTGCGCGAAGTCCGCGAAGTAGGCGAAGAGGATTGTTCCTCTTTCTTTTATTTTTTCTTTTCTCAATCAAGTATCTGCTCGCATTATGCGACATTTTCTGCGTAACAGAAAATTTCTGAGCATCTACTCACCTTCACCTCGGGATCCACCACAAAAAAACTCTTCTAAAAAATTTCATCACGCGCTCGTCCGGAAGCAGCGAGAATCTTTCTGCAGATCGCGAAGTTTTCACGAATGACTTCGACATCACGAGCGGGTCATAACTTGAGATCCGTCTTGATCACAATCTTATTTGCGAGCGAATTAAAGTTTAAATTAGACAAGTTTAGACAAGTGAATTAAAAGTAATTAATTAAATGATAACTGTAAAAATCAACTTTAATATTTTACAAAATTATTAAATGCTTTATAGAATTGTAAAGTTGCATGTCGATCAAGACGGTGCTCGATGAAACTTTACATAGACAATGTCGCTGGCACAAAAAGATAATTTCGAATTTTTTATTCTCTTTATTTTTCTCTTTTTATCTAATTTAAAAATTAATAATATTTAATTAACTGAATTAAAATAGACACAATATAAATTGTATTTTTACTCAATTATTTTCCTCCAAAAAAATATTGTTATTGATAATTCTTTTGTAGAATTTGCATTTTCAATATTTGCAGTTGAATATTGCTGAAGAAGACATTGTGCATGCAAGTTGATATTCGTTACTTTAGATATTGAACCTTTTCGGGAAATCAAAGGCATCGTTCTGAGCATTTCAATTGCGAGTCAAGGATTATGTCAAGGATATTAGATTCAAACGACAGTATAGAGACCAAATGAAAATTTCTAATTCTAAAATTCTAATTGTACTCTAATTCGATCATGTCAAGTATATCAGATTCGAACGGCAGCGTAGAAGCCAGGCGACGAGCGAAAATTTCTGATTGCTTCTCGAAGACGCGTGTCACCATAGAAACTTCAAATCTCCTGTGCCTTTTAATTCTATTTACAGCATGCGTTTGTCGTTACAGATCAGCGAAGAAAAAAAAATGTTCGGGAGCAGACTGTTGAGGAACCTCTCTCACGAAGAGTCTTCTTTTTTCCAGCTGTCCATAAAGCCACGATACATTTTCGGTACACTGTTCTCTTTCGCTCGATCACGTAAAAATCGATTTTAAAATAAAAAAGTATTCAGAATCTGATGGAAGCTGATGAGGAATAGATTACCGGAAAAGCGTATCGATGATGAGAGATTAGGTGACTATGTGAGTTCAGCGTCTTCCACGTCGTACCATTTGTGAAGTAAAATGTGGCGGTTGCGTTATTGTTTACACATTACATAGATAAGTATTTCTACGATATAGATATAACGTTATATAGCATATATATATATATATATATATATATATATATATATATACACACACACACACGCATACCAGGGAGCATCATAGCGTAAGTAGTAACTAGCGTAAGAGTGTTTCGGCGATACTAAAACGTAGCTAATAGTCACCGAAAAGCTCCTGAGTTCATCCGCCATGAGCAGTCCGTCCTTGCCGACGCCGGGTGCTTTTGTCTCCTGAAGCAGATTCTCCATGAAGGACGCTAAATCCTTACATCGCTTCGACACATCGAGCTCGGTTATATCTGACGTTCTTTGGATGCTCTGCACACACGTACGATAGAAAAAAAAAAAGAGAGAACAAATTGAGGAATGAACTGGCTCATCTCCGCCTCGTGATGAAAAGATTTCGTTTTTTGTTTTTTTCTCTCTTGTTAATGGTTAATAAAGGGTTAATACACTGCGTTTTCTCTCATACGTACATGAACAATTAACTATCCATTTGCTGTGTTAATAGACTTCGCAGGGTGGTATTAAGCGAGTCCCATCGCTATTAAAAACAATTCACTATTAAAAAAAATAAAGATTGCGTCTTTATGGGAATCGAGATTAAGCGATTGTGTATGCTCGGTCCTTTTCGTCTCGAAATTATAATTGGAATCGTACACGCTTTGTCTTTGGCAGAATACAAAGGGATACACCTCGATACAGAAAAATACGAGTCTCGAGCGAGTGAATTCGCGAGTGACACGTGGGGAAATTAGTGCGTGAGATGTGTGTCATGGCGATCGCTCTCGTCGGTGATCGTACCTCGTCGAGAAGCGCCCGTATTTCACCCTGGATGATCTTGGCCTCCTTCAGCACCTCCTCGCTGATGCTGGCCAGGTAGCCGCACTCGGTGTCGCGCGGCACGCGGAAGATGTCCGGGTCCACCGGCCCCTTGAGCACCCGATGCTGACCTACGACAAACTCTAGTTTTTTCGTCCAGGGATTGATAAAGGACGACCACTCGGTCTCGAGGACGACGCAGCCCCCGTTCTGCACGGCGAATCTGTACGGCTTCGACCTGAAGGAGGAGCCTTCGAGCCTGACCACCTGTTCAACGACACATTTCGATAAACGAGTTAGACGGTAAAATTACGAGTAATTTTTTTTACAGTCACGACGTAACACAACGGGAATTATTTCAACATTCATCTCTCTCCCTTTCGCTCTCCCGCATTCTCTCTTGCTCTCTCTCTCTCTC